TTCTCACGACTACGGATGATCCGGCCTTTGCACTTTAAAACATAATTCAGGTCCTGAATTAGTCGGTGGTCCAGTCGCCGTTTTAAATATTTAAATAGAGATGTAGGCGAACAAAATTTATATACAAGGAACTTGAGGCGCGTAAGAATATTCTTGCTGATTCTCTACCCCCAGTATAAATTCTGGCTTCGTTTTCGTTCTTGCTCATTCCCATGTAACTACTGATGAAAATGGGTGAAAAGCTTTTAGTATTATGAAATTGACAACCTTGTTGTTGTGTGTATATATATATATATATATATATATATATATACTTAGTAAGACTATGCCTGTAGCTGTTCGCCTGATGATTGCACACAGTGCAGTAGCGAAATATTACGAGTGATCCATTGTTTGTTGACATATATATATATATATATATATATATATACTCAATCTGCGGACAGAACTGTTTCGTCCTTTGTGGACTCGTCAGCGCAGCACAGAGGAAATGGGGCCGAACCTGATAGCAATGGAAATAAAAATTTCCAATCAGGCCCGAACGTACCTTGCCAGAGTGCTCAAACTGACAAGTCAGTGAGCTCTGCATAACGCAAACAGCAAAGGCACTACCCCACGCAAGAGTGCTCAACTGCTACAAGAGCAGGAGCGAAATACTCAATCTGCGGACAGAACTGTTTCGTCCTTTGTGGACTCGTCAGCGCAGCACAGAGGAAATGGGGCCGAACCTGATAGCAATGGAAATAAAAATTTCCAATCAGGCCCGAACGTACCTTGCCAGAGTGCTCAAACTGACAAGTCAGTGAGCTCTGCATAACGCAAACAGCAAAGGCACTACCCCACGCAAGAGTGCTCAACTGCTACAAGAGCAGGAGCGAAATACTCAATCTGCGGACAGAACTGTTTCGTCCTTTGTGGACTCGTCAGCGCAGCACAGAGGAAATGGGGCCGAACCTGATAGCAATGGAAATAAAAATTTCCAATCAGGCCCGAACGTACCTTGCCAGAGTGCTCAAACTGACAAGTCAGTGAGCTCTGCATAACGCAAACAGCAAAGGCACTACCCCACGCAAGAGTGCTCAACTGCTACAAGAGCAGGAGCGAAATACTCAATCTGCGGACAGAACTGTTTCGTCCTTTGTGGACTCGTCAGCGCAGCACAGAGGAAATGGGGCCGAACCTGATAGCAATGGAAATAAAAATTTCCAATCAGGCCCGAACGTACCGTGCCAGAGTGCTCAAACTGACAAGTCAGTGAGCTCTGCATAACGCAAACAGCAAAGGCACTACCCCACGCAAGAGTGCTCAACTGCTACAAGAGCAGGAGCGAAATACTCAATCTGCGGACAGAACTGTTTCGTCCTTTGTGGACTTTATATATATATGTAGGACTCAGTATAGAGTCCATGCACTATATGATGTCCAGCACCCTATATAGAGTCCATTGGTCCAAAATCCACTATACAGAGTCCAGGAGTCCACTCAGTTTTGATCAGCTTCATCCTGCCGCGCAATCCCCTATAAGGAGTACACTTTTTCTACAAGTCCCCTATTCACGGTCCAGGGGTCCAGTTTATCCAGTCACGCTGTCCTGTGTGTTGTGCCCGAAACTGAAGAGAACAAACACCTTTTCAGTTTTGCTTGCCTCGTGGCAGCGCATTCCTTTCTTCACTTCAGCCATGGCTGCCAGTTCTGCTGTGCAGTTGCTGACAGTAATCTGTCTCGAGGTAACCAAGCAGGATAAGGAGACGTTCAAAATCAAATCTGGAAAGCGTCTTGTGGTTCTCTGAAGACGTTTCATCAGTGCGCGGGATGAAAGCAGAAATTGCAGAACGAGAAAAGTTCAGCACAGTTCAAATCTGACGAGTCAGGTACACTGACACTCTCTTTCGTTCGACGCCACAAGGATCCCCTGTTTGGCTGGCCATTGCTGCCAGTAAGGCGTTTGAACAGTTTCATCAGAGCGAGGGATGAAAGCAGAAAGCGGAGAACGAGAAAAGTTCAGCACAGTTCCAATCTGACGAGTCAGATACACTGACACTCTCTTTCGTTCGACGCCACAAGGATACCCTGTTTGACTGGACAAGAGCTGCCTGTACCACTGTGTCAAAAGGCTGTCCAACTACATGGCAGGACGATGTCTGAGGTAAGGAAGCTTTTACTCGTTTCGATTGGTCTGCTGTTCTGTCGTTATGCTTGAATTTTTTTTCCATTTTCAAGGATCGTATCGCGTTTGTTTGATGTTGCTTGAATGAATGCCCTAAAAGTAATCAACCACTTCGTAATAGTCCTCAAGGACTGCAAGGACTTTGCATCAATCGTATACGATCGTCTAGCTATCATCAATTATTATTTTATTTCATGAGAAATGTATTTTTATCCCTGTGATAATTATGTGAACTCCACGACACTCTTCCTCTACTAGGCTCTAGTATGATGTCAAATACAATGGGATCCACAAACGCAGTGCCAGTGTACTAGTAGTAGTAGGAGGATTTCTCGTATGTCGATGACAAGAAAAAGCTTCTCAAGCTAATACATGTACCGTAAAGTACCGCCAGAGCGCCCCACCATCTCGTCCTTTCGTGGCCGCCTTGTGGAGGTGGATTCCTGTCTGTAGGTCATACGACACGGACCTTGTACAAACATTGCACATTGTGCAGTCAATCCGTACCCAGTTTACCTTCGAGCTCCACATAAAAGCATACCAAGTTAGTGTGACCTTAGTACACGCGCGCACGAAGGTTCTCACATCGTACAAACTTAGTAGCATTCTGCCATACGATTTTCTTCCCTTGGCTGTAAAATCAAGGTGGGGCGCTCTCGCGAGACGGGGCGCTCTGGCGGTACTTTACGGTACTCGTATTCCATGAAGTAACCGTTTTGATGTCACAAACATGACATTGTGTCAGTGAAACTGCCTCGTGACAACAAATCATTGCATTTCCATCTTGGGGAAGACTGACTGACGGCAACGCTGTACAGATTGTTCAAATCATCTCATTTAAATTTAGTTGCAGTGAAGTGAAACACTGTGTACACTACATGTATGGTGGTGTGTCTGTGCATCTTGAGTGTGCACAAACGATCTTACTGTAAGACATGTTATTATAACGAGTCGCAAATTTAACGATTGTCCAAAATTCATAGGTTAACGAGAAGATAATTATGTTAACGATCTTGCAGTATTCTGCCATATCCACGCACAGCATAATATGAATCAGTACGGCCTCAACGGATCTTGAAGAAATGTCAGCCGTTAAAACGTTAGATTTGCTTCCTCGTAATATTATACATGTCTTACATTATTCCTCGTATTACTAATAGATTATTGTCCCCACTGTCACCTGTTCACAGGTCTTTGAGTGGATGGATTTTCATTGAGCATTACATTCGTTGAGAACTTGGTAGTTGTGTGCTTCCATGCATCATTACGGTAATACGCGTATCCTTGTGCTATCTATTTGTTGCAGGTGTGCTGATCTTCAGAAGATTGCGGAACTGAGTGCTGCTGAACATTTGCATGGCCATGAGCAATGGTGAAGCTTGCTATTGCACTCTCAGCATGTCCTAGTATTATGCTGACTACTGCACTATGTTACTCTCTTACGCTACTACACGTATGTAAACGTGCGCGCATCCGCCCATGTATGCATTCGTTTCGTATAATTATTTGTTATCCCTCTTGACTTTACGTGTAAATGGGTGGACGTTTGCATGGCTGTTGGAGTTGCGTGTGTATTGTGTCTCTACTCTTTTCTTGCTGTTTTCCTGGCGTTGTATAAGTTTGTGTGTGTGTGTGTGTGTGTGTGTGTTTGTGTGCGTGCGTGCGCGTGCACAATAATTTGAAAACAAATAATTAATCCTTGGCTCTCCATTATTCTCTTTCGATTCTTGGTTTTTTTCTAGGTATTTTCTTGGCGTTGTGTGGGTATGTGCATGTGTGTGTGTGTGCGTGCACAATAATTTGGCAACACTACATGATTGAGATATTGTAATTTGCAGTGTCTGCGAAAAGACCACTTGATTTGAGGATGGTGTTTGTAGGGTTTTTCATGTAATGAAGTGGCTGCAGTGGCGCCTCAATACTTTTTTATTTTTAGAAGTGAATGATGTAAAGGATTAAAGGGAGAGGCCGTTTTCTGGTTAATATTCACTGCTTACAGCAGATCCTTTGTCTAATTTCGAACTCTGGATAGGGGATGCCTAATTCGCTGGACTTTATACAGGGAGTGTTGTCCACATAAAGACTCCTTATAGTTGATTTCAAAGTTTGGACTCCATACAGTTGATTTTGGACCAATGGACTCTATATAGGGGTGAAGCCAATTGGCTGGACTCTATACAGGGAGTGATGTCCATCTAAACTTTGAGCTCACAGTTGATTCCAAGTTTGGACTCTGTACAGTGGATTTTGGACCAATGGACTCTATATAGGGGTTGGACATCATATAGGGGCTGGACGCTCTACTGAGTCCAACATATATATATCTTATTATTTCTTTTCTATCATTTCCCCTGAACACCTTGAAGGGAGATCGCTTGCTGGAGAGTTGAACCTGGGTTCTTAATCCACTATTTCCAGTTTGCAAGGCTGGGTGATGTTGTGAGCAGGCTTTCATTTCAACTTATCTTATTATTTCTGCTTTTCATCTCATTACAAAAAAAAACTTCGCATTTATCTCCATCTGCGCATAAAATCTAGACTGACAACCTGCTTCTTAAATCATGCACCTGCTTTCAGGCGCAAAAACCATGTTGTAGATATCTCAGTCCTCGATTTTTAGACTTACCTATCTATCTATCTATCTATCTATCTTTCTTTCTTTCTTTCTTTCTCTCTGCTCTCGCCCTCTCGCTCGCTCCATCGGCTTTTTTTAGTGTTATTATTGTAAAAATTATAGAAAGGAAACATGGGATGGATGCCATGATACGTGCCAATCAATCTTTTTTCTTTTCGTTGTCCTGGCTCTGTTCTGATATGTTTCTTGTGTCCACAGTCAAAGGAGCTTCCAATACTGGTGCTATCGTTGGGGGAATTTTCGGAGGCTTAGTAGGTATTTTGGTAGTCGCCTCACTTTTTCTATTCAAACATTCAAGCAGGAACCAGATTTTCAGTGTGAACCAAAAATATCCTGAGGTAGTGGTGCAGCAGTCAAATTGTACCATTATGGAGGATTTCAGTGGAAGTGACAATATTGATAAACGCGGGAGCACTGCAGCATTGCTTACCGGTATTGATCCATCCAAGGTGGCTACCATGGAAACAGGCTGTGAGAGCACGACCAAAGAGGTCTAGTATGGCCACACGTCTCTGTGGCTGTGGAAAAGGACATTGATTAGCTGTACACTGGTTGTACACTGGTACACTGCCAAAACTCTCCCCGAGCTGAAGATAGTCACTATGACCCAGTATGATGTGAGCACACCACAATGCCAGTGTTTGAGAAGGAAGTAACAGTTGATTGATACAATTATCATGATGGTGCATCAACATCATTGCTATCTCTGCAGCTCGCACAGCCTGATGAAAATCAATAGGGTAGTTCTTGGTGGTTTCCAACCATTATCTGCTAAGTCAATATTTCAATGTTTCTTTCTAGATGTTTCAGTGTTTTCTTTTTCATGCATTCATTTGAAGGTTTGGATGTCTCTTTCTCCTCTCAATTTATCAGTGCCTGCGTGTGCGATCTATCCTGAGACTTCTGGTCGGATGGTTTTCTGTGGCAACTCCATGCGCCTTATCTGTTTAGCAATGCTCTCATCCCATCAGCTCTATTCAGCATGGCTCATACTGCAGCTGGACTGCATCACAGTATTACCGAAGGTTTGAATTTCCAGTGCCAGAATTTGCGATCTATTCTGTGTCTTCTGGCTCCATTCAGTATTGGTCTTCGTATCCATCCCTGGAGAGAGAGAAAGGGAGAGAGATAGAGAGAGAAGAGAGAGCGAGAGAGAGAGAGAGAGAGAGAGAGAGAGAGAGAGAGAGAGAGAGAGAGAGAGAGAGAGAGAGAGAGAGAGAGAGAGAGAGAGAGAGAGAGAGAGAGAGAGAGAGAGAGAGAGAGAGAGAGAGAGAGAGAGAGAGAGAGAGAGAGAGAGAGAGAGAGAGAGAGAGAGAGAGAGAGAGAGAGAGAGAGAGAGAGAGAGAGAGAGAGAGAGAGAGAGAGAGAGAAAGAAAGAGAGAGAGAGAGAGAGAGAGAGAGAGAGAGAGAGAGAGTAAGTTACATTTATAAAGACAGGTAAGTCTAACAAATGAGGACTGAGACCTCTACAACAGGGTTTTTACGCCTGAAAGCAGGTGCATGATTTAACAAGCAGGTTGTCAGTCTAGATTTTATGCGCAGATGGAGAAAAAGCGCAGAATTTTTGTAATGAGATGAAAAGCAGAAATAATAAGAAATAATAAGAAAAGATGAAATGAAAGCCTGCTCACAACCCCGCCCAGCCTTGCGAACTGGGTATGGTGGATTAAGAACCCGGTTCAACGCTCGAGCAAGCGCTCTCCACTCAAGGTGTTCACAGCAACTGATAGGAACTCATATGGGGAAATTATAGAAAAGAAATAATAAGATAAAGAGAATAAATTTCAACGCACCTCAATAAACGGAGCCCCACATACAGTACCTCAGAAAAGTGGATCTTCCGACCAGTGTTTTTGTTGACGCCGCAACCAGATGATGTAGCTGCTTCGCAGAGACGTCTTACTGCACAAATTACAAATAAATTTTATTCTTCGATTAGAAAATCCAAGCGCTTTCAGAGCCCTCCGAAGAGAGTCCGGGATGAAACCACGCACACCTACCTCAACCGAAAAAGAAACGACCTGCCACCCGTTTGCTCGGCATTGATCGGCCAGATCCGCATACCGCCTGTCCTTCCGCGAGTTACTGACACTGAATCTGTCTTCAGCACAAACTGTCAACTCCATCCAGAATACAATCCTACGACTCGTAGAGTACAGAACTATATCTGGTCTTAGGGTGGTAAGTGCAACACAGCTAGGGAAAGAAATCTTTGCACTAACTGAGTCGACAAGAAGTTTCCAGTCTGAGGCCGCTGACAGGAGATCAGTCGTAACCAACTTTCGTCTGGGCTGAACGCGAACTGGCTTCTCTCCCGCCTTGCAAAACGAGATGAAGTCCAGCTCATTTGAATTTTCGGTTTGTACGGTGTTTGCAGCAGTGCGGATTCGAATCTCCTCACGCATGTTCCTGACGATGACCCCGAGTACGTTGTCGTGCCTCCAGGTGTAACGTCCCTGGTCCAGCGCTACGCGACAAGCGCCAAGCACGTGGCGCGTAGTACAGGCCCAGGTACGGCACAAACTACAGTACGGATCCACTACGATGTTTCCCCAACGGCGTAGGTTCGTCGGAGAAGGTAGCACGTCGAGGGTTGATGCGAGAAGAAATTTCAAATCCTTACCAGTACCACCGTACAAAAGGGATTTCCACGAGAGGTCCTGCCACATCACCGATGTCCACTCCAACCACTTGCCTTGCACCTGAAGAGTCTTCAGCCTCAAAATCTGCTCCTGCGCGTTGATCTCCTCAAATGTTTGAAGGAGATCCTTCCTCGGGGGGGTTGGAATGCTGCTTCGGAGCACGAGCACCCAACCCTGCACGATGACTTGAAGATGACGGTGGACGGAGAGTCCCTGAACCTACTGATGCCTCTGCACACTCCAGCTCTATTGTCGCCGCATATCGCTTTGTCAGCTTCGCATCCTTACTCCGACGCAGAGTGTACAGCGCCCTCATGCGCGCGTCCCCACTCGATCGAAGAATGTGCCATTTGATGGACTGGCACTTTTTCCACACCGTAGGAAGGTAGTGGAGGCGTAAGCCAAAGCGTTTGCGACTGCCAATAAAAAGAATGGCAGAGTTTGCGCATCGAGGTAGGCCTGACCATTTCTTCAGAAATGGTAAACACATAAAGTGCAGTTCACGTACAAAACCTTGTGTGAGTTCAAGAACCTGGAAAGACCAAGAAAGCTTGGGCACCACAAGATGGTGGTAAAGCCATAGCTTGTGGTGGTCTTGAAGCCAAGAGCCATCTACTTTTTGCATGAGAGATACAGTGAGTTGACGGATGTCTTCCCGCTGGGTCTGCTCAGAGCAATCAGCATGCAGCCTTCGCCCCAGGAACTTGAACTCTGCAGTGTCAATGAAAGCGATCTTCCTCCCTGACATTGTCAGGCAGGGATCGTAAGG